TGTTTTCCTTGTCACCCGTTTCAGAGCAGCTGGGGAACAAAACCCCCTAGGGACAGGGCGAGGACTCTGGCCATGGCCCGGCAGCAGGTACAGAGGGACACCGGGCAGGTACAGGGGGTCTGGGAGGACGAGAAGCTTCCCAGCCTGGAGGCTACAGGACACCGGCCACGAAGGCTTGGGCTGTCAGTCGAGGAGCAGCAGTACCGGCAGACTGCTTCACACAAGCTGTTGGCTCCAGGAGGCGAAGGGTGAGGGTGAAAGACCCGAGGCTCTCGCTATAAGTGGCACACACCCGCTCACACCGACTGCTACCAGCTCATCCTCCTGCAGGAGCTGGTGGAGGAATTCCACAGGGAACCGAAAACACTCTAGGCTGGAAATCACTACTCCCAGCAGCTCTTATTTTTAAACATAGGTTGCAGCCCTTATTTACCAGCAGGCGCAATGTTGTCAGGAGCAGTGACTGCAGATACCTCGCTTGCCTTTTGCAAAGTAAATCTCCTGTTTTGACTGCAAGCTGATTGATGCTCAGTTACTTGGGGAGGAATATTTCTAGCTACACAGTGCAAGCCAGAGTTATCAGCCAATTAAGTATTTATGGCCAATTCCATTTTCCTAGCAAGATGTTTGGAAAGCAAGCAGCAGTTACAGCAGAGAAACAGGTTAAACTGTGCTCTTCTGTAAACACCTCCATGCTGGCCTACCAGAAACTACACACACAGAAGTCCTGTAAAAGCTTCTCTTAAGGCTACGCTTGGAAGCAATCCATCACCAGAGAGAGCGTGATTTAAACACTGCAGCAGTACCTCAGCCTGTTGTCACTGAAGCATTACCAGAGCATGAAGCAAAAGGCCACGCGCTCCCAGCCCCACAAGGAGGGTTAGCTGCTATGGGGGCTTCCTACAGACAGGCTTTGCTGTAAGCCACCACCAAGTGAATGTCTGGAACGGCTCTTTACTGCCTGACCCTTGTCAGGTGTATCCTGCAACCATATGCAGCATCTCTGGCAGGTGCTGATTTAACCCTGGTTTCCTGCTTTTCCAGCATGGGCCATCACCTCTAATATGCTCCTGTCTTCCTGAGATCACTTAGGAACCATGGATCCAAACCCGAACCAAACTAACCCCCTTTAGGATGCACCAAAGGGAGAAGTGCTGTTGTAGCCTTTTCAAAAAACAAAACAAAACCAACCCTGCTGCCTATTCCAGATGTTAGGGCAGCATCACCACCAGCCTTTCCCCACCACTTGAATTTAGTGACCAGTTGCACACAACGTGTGACTCACTCTCTCCCAGCTTCTCCAGCCGATAAGCGCCCTTCTCTGTTCAACTCCATCAACAATTTTAGGGCAGATTCCTGCTTTCACAAGGAAACGTACAACTAGTGTGGTGATATGGCAAAAGACAAACCTCTTAACAGCTTGTATCTTTGCTTTTCCGTCTGTAGTGGGTTGTTTACAACACTCTCCAATTTCTGTGAAGTAACACTTAACATTTACCGAGCATGCTTGAGCCCATGGATGAAACGTACCGCTTGAGTCATCTTCTGCCTGTCGCAGCATCTGCCAGAGACCAACCAGTCATTTGGTTGCTGGTTGCCACACGTCTTCCAGAGCAGCCATTCCCCCTTCTACAGCATCTTCAACTGCTGACACGGGGCCAAGCCCGGTGACCGAGAAGGTCACTGCAGCCTTTAAAACCAGTGGGCTATGATGGTGGGTGAGAGAAGTTCAGCCTAAACAAGGAAAGGAAAACACTTCAAATGCCACAGTAATGGTATGAGATGACAAACATCTATTTGTTCCTAGTTATATCTCATTAAGTGTGACTGAGGTCACCCAGTTCACTTTCCTGCCCTCGTTGCAGCTGGTGTTAATCCAGGGATAATTTTCTTAAGCTTTTAAGTGGTGTTCATCATATAGCATCTCCCAGCAGTACTGGAGAGTCAGCTGATATCTTGCCAAGCTTGTGAGGACCAGAAAGCATCTGTATTTCAGACGCATCAGTATGCCTCAAAAGCGATCAAAAGCTGTGACCAGTCACTGAGGCATGACCACAGCTCAGTCCCTTTGTGTCCAACTCCTGTGGAAGTGCTGTGGTTTTTAAAAGGCAGCCTTCACAGGAAAACCACCCTCCAAAATTTGGTGTGTGAGAGCATCAAGCCCTTAAAGTACCCCCTGCTTTGTGCTCTCTGTGCTGAGAAGAGGTATTGGTTTTAAAAACACTGCCAGCTCAAAATGCCCTGCTCACCTTCAACAGGGGTGCAGAATATCTGCTCTGGTTTAAACTGCTAATTGGTACCCGAAACAAAAGGCAGTGGGAAATTGGTGCCAGAAAATAAAAACTATGCTTGCCTGTGGTCTTCACACGAGGTGTCTGAAGTGCGCAACACCAGCATGGCACCACGGCTGGAAAGGCGATCTTCTTTTAAGCTGCTTTCAGCTGTAGCCCCTCTTGATGTACAGGCCAGGACAAGCAGCTCCAGCTCCAACCCGCTGGCTCTCCTGACAGCTTCCCGTGCAGAGCACAGCCACCTCGGTACAATGATTTGTGCCGCGCAATAAATGCAGCTGTCTGCAATTTGCTGCAAGCACTTCTATACTTCACACACGCACACATATATATATACAGAGACGCCGAGGGCCATTACGCTGCAAGCACTTCTATACTTCACACACACACACATATATATACAGAGACGCCGAGGGCCATTACTTTTACATTTCACCAGAAAGAAAAATTATTCTTCAGGGTCAAGCAGGGGAAAGGCGCTGCCAGTTGTGGGCTCTGCTGAAACAGGATCCTTGGATGAACACTGAAGCACACTGCACTACGTGCTGCGTGGTGACAAGTATTTGATACTAGGAAATAAGTCATCCTGTGAGTGACTACTGTCAGTTTAAGTGGACGGCAGCATAATACATCGTGGCATTCGGATTAAGCCAACCCCGGTAAGCCACAGCAAGGCATGAGCTAGACCTGCATTTGAATCTGAGTGCTCTCACCACGCTCAAGAATATTTGCCCACTCTTCTCTGCTGAAAATCCCAGGAGAACAAAGGATCTTTTGAGGGCAATGTTTTAAACCTAAATGTAATGCAGTATGAAAATTCCCTTGTATAAAAGCTGAAGGAGGATATAAAATGCTCAGAGAGAGATAGACTGGTGCTGCCACTCTTGTTAGTTCTAGGATGTAGTGTTTCCCATTCATGAATAATTTTCTGTGAAACTTGTGTCTGAATAAGTCCTCTTGTGCGCTGAATTTCAGCAGCCCTGGAGCCAACACCCTCCCAGAGTTGTACCAGCTTGAAACAGTTCTGTGCTTGGTACCCTGCACTTACTGAGATAGTTTGAAAAGCAGAGCGATGTGGAGTGCCTTTTTAAGGCCAGGGCTATTCTTCCAGGAGCAGGACCTGCCCCAGAGACAGATCTCACTAGCCCACTGGGGTTTTCTGCTCCAGGACTATGTTTGTCACCCCCGATGCCAGCTGACAGCAGGCACAGTGGCTGTGACTGACAGCCTCGGTCAACACACACAAACACCCCACTCCCGGGGGCTGTCCCATCTGCGTAGGGCTGACTGGAGTTGGTCTCTGGCTGGGAATTGCACTTCCCACCAGCCTTGCCCAAGCTTGGTCCTTGGAGAAGCCACCGGGTCCACGCGGAGGAAAGGCTGTCTGAAACTCGGCACGTATTAAGCTGAGCTTGCATACCCCTGGCTTACCAGCAATGTTGTGTTTAACAGGGTGAAACCAGGGCAAACCAGCCCTCCCTATATGGCTCTCCGCTGACGTTTGCATTGCCGCTCACTTCTGCAAAAACTGCATGAGAACCTATACGGGTGGTGCAGATGAGCAGGGTCTGGAAGCATCTGAAGTTTACCTGGTGCAGCAGAAACCAGGAGACCTCAGCCTTGTCCACCCACTCCCACCTGCACACCATCTCCCTGCAGAGCGGCAGTGGTACTGATGCCTGGAAAGAGGTCCTTCGAGGTTCCTCACGTTTGGCTGCTGAGTGAGCCAGGAGCGGCTGGTAATCAGCAATACCACCGAGCTGGGGTAGTAGACAGAAATCCAGATTGAGGAAAGCCCATTGCTCATAGCAATTCACAAATGAAAAGCAAACTGTTTTTTTTAAATTTATTTATTCCTGAAAGTGTACAACTAGAATATAAAAATATTCCTTGCTGAAAGCAAAACAGAAAAGGGTAGGAAATGAATGCCAAGTGTTCCAGGGGAAGAAGCCTCCAGAGACAGAGCTTGGAGACTCCTCAAGCTTAGAAGTTAAGGTCATATTTCTATTTTACAGAAATTTTCTATAGCAGATCTGTAAGTTACCTCATTGTGACTCATAACTCGGTGGAATGTGTTTCTAGTTTGTTCTCTCTGAGAACCCAATTACTTCAAGTGCATCACACCAGTAAACGAAATCAGTGTGCTGCTTTATTTATTATTAAGCATTTGCTTTTCCTTATGGTGACTGCATTATAGCTGCCACAAGTATGCAAACTAGCTGAATTAAAACAGCACACTTTCTTGAACATTTCCAATCTCTCTAAGCCTTGGTACTTTGCATGTTCTCCAATACCTGGATTTTTCTGGCTAATGAACTCCTCCATTTGCTGTAAAATATTGAATGCAATTAGTACTTCAATGCACAGCCTCAAAGTATGCTGTGCCTAGCAGCTGAGCACTGTAAAAGAGCCCAGTGCTTGGCAGAAGAACTAGAAATCTGAAAGAGAAAAGGGAGATTTATGCACACTCCCACCAAGGCCTGCTGCAGAATTTAATTGGCAAGGTTAGCAATAAAGGGGCTGCAGAGAGAACCACCAAGGTTATGGCCTCAGTGCAAGTCACAAAGCAGCAACAAGTTATGATTTCCAGGCTTAAAAATTAGAAATTACATTTGGTTCCTCACCTCACACTCCCCCATGCCAAGCTGCACAATGTGTTCTGATCAAGTCAGTCTATTCCTTTGCTCTTCTCAGTCCAGGTTTATCTCTTCAAGGGGAGATACAAATCACTCCATCCAACCCTTCTGCAATTTCATCCAGCCTCTGCCTGCACTCTTCCTGCAGCTGCTTCAGCTCTCTCTCCAGGCTGGCCTCTCTCATCTGCAGTTCTCTGATCACCTCTGTAGCACTGACAGCTGAAGCAGGCTCCTTGGATACAGACCTACTGAAGCCCGTTTTGCTGGCAGGATGTTTGCTTCTGAAGACCAGTCTGCACGAACCATGCTTTTTTTTTTTTTTTGGATCACAAAATGATGCAAGATCTAGCAGTTTTAGTTCAACACTTTCCTGTATCTTTCTAGCAGTGGCGGAGAACTGCTCCTTCTGTAGTTCTTCGTCTCTTGTTTTCACCTGTAGAGAGAAGGAAAAAAGGAAAACAACAAAAAAAAGAATATGGTAGATTTCTGTGAAAAAATCCTCCCGCTAGGAAACAACATAAAATGTCATGTTTGGACTAGGATGTACCAAAGAGAAGAGAGCCAACTGTGAGTGTAAACCTAAGTGCGTGGCAATGAAAAGTGAATTACGCTAACACGTGCTTTCTATCAGAAGCTTCAGTGACCAAAAAGCTGGCTGTAGTAATCTGTTTGCAGATTCACAGTCTACCAGTCCCTCCGCTGACGACTAACACACAAGGGCTCTGCACGCTTCCCTCTTACCCAGGAGTGGGTGGTCTGACTTCAGAGCAAAACACACGGAGCAAAAAGGGAGACCCAGCAGAGTGACCTTCATCACCGTTGTGCTTTAAGCCACCGCATTGTCGTAACAGGTTAATTGCCTCATGACTAACAGTATTAATTCAGTTTGCAAATGCTTTCTGTACTTGGCAATGCTAACAAATTAGGGATGACAACTGTAAGCTAGAAATTCCTTAATTCTCAATTCTCATTATGGGGTAACAAATAGGAAAAGGAAAATAATGGAGCAGAGACAAAAAAAGTAGAGGCTAAGACCAAACTGAGTACGAGGCAGCACGCTTACAGTGAAGATAGGCCCAATAAAACAAAGCTTTTCTTGTGACAGAATCACAGTCTGGATGATAAAAGCAATTGTATATACTGGGATTTCTCCAAAGCATTTGATTTAATGTTCTCTAACAATTTGATTTGAAGAACTTGCAAGATGGTAATTGCCTTGCCAATTTTACTAGTGGATTAAACATGAATTGAGTGACTCATCTCAAAATGTAGTTGTCAGTGGGGAAACATCCGTAAGAAGAGGTACCCTGTGCTAAGGCCTTCAGGGAAACGGTTCTTGGTCCAATGGCATTTTCTGTTTCTGCTACGGCAACAAGCTGCCAAATCGTCTCAGCCAAAAAGCAGCAAAGTTTCAGAAAAGCGCTGCTGTCTCTGCAACCTGCACAAGTCCTAGAGCTCTCCTGGAACTTGTGCGCAGTTCTGGAGTTCATGCTTCAAAAAAACCACAGGGAAACAGAGTAGGATTCAAAGACAGGTCACCCAAAGACTCACAGCCCAGAAAACAAGCCTTATAGTATGAAACTTCAAGAGCTCAAACTATTCCATTCATGAAGACGGATATATAATTTGTTTTAGATCCTAAAAGACAGTGGAAAAGAAAGTGGTGAGAGACCAGACTTTGCCGATAAAGCCGTAAGAAGATCAAATGGATGAAAATTTGAGTTAGATATTCAGCTTCAGAATAAGACATTGTTTCCTACTGTGAGGATAATGAACCATGAAACGCTTCATTGCTGCTCCAGGGATGAATCCTTTGGCCAAAGCTCAGCTCAGGTCAAGTCTGTGCTAACAATACCCCCTTCCAGCCTTGAAGCTGCTCTGCAACCGCTCACTTCCCTGGCCATGGGTGAAGCTGAACAGCTCCTTGGGGTTTTAAATCTGCAGATCTGCATTAAGAGGTTGGTATCTCACAATATTAGGGCTTTGACAAGTTCTCTGTAAACTCAGGGATATTTTGGCATCTCTCTGAAGCACCAGAGATCGGTCAGAGCTCACAGCAGCAAGGACAAGAGTCCTAAGGTAGCAAAGCCCTCCCTGCCTTTGCCACTGCCAAGATACAACTGCTCAGGGTCAAACCAGCTGCCATATCTGCAGACAAAAGGATTTTTTCCACAGATCAGTAGGGAGGGTTTCACTGCTAAAACAAATTCAGACACTTATGACACACAGGGGATCAGACTACGTTCTCTTACGGTGCGAAACACTGCAGGCACGAGGGCTGCAGTCGCAGTTAAATTTCCCCACTGACACCAACTTCACCAGGGCTTCACTCACTTATCCCACGTCTTTCATCAGAATATCTTCATGAGTTTTGCAGCCAAGGAATTAATCCTCCCCATAGTCTTCTGATGCGTTATTCTCCCCCACCCCACCCCCACTCAAAAAAGATTATGAAAATCAGTCAAATCAGAAAAGGAGTAAATTTCTCTGAATTTTTCCTAACGTGTTAAAGGCTTTATCGATGCAGAACCATCTGTTAAAGGAGACCTTTGTTGATTAAGGCATATCAATAGAGAGTTGAAGACAAGAGAAGTCTAGCTTTGCCCTTGTCCAAGAACCAAGGGTCCCTCTTTATCGCAATCCCCAAGGAATCCCTGAACATCTCTTGCTGTTGGCTAAAAGAGTATCTGAGGTTCAATTCTCTAACACTGCTTTAGAAGAAACAAAACTGAAAAAATAAATTCAATGTTATCTGGCCTCCCCACTGCCAATGAATAAATAGAAAACGATGTTTGCACAAAGCGGATTTAACACTGGAATCCAGGATGGGAAAAATTTCCCGTTACTTACAAAGAACAAAATCACTCAGCAAACAGAGCCCACAAAATGTTATTTATTTTTTGCATTAAACTCAGGCAGAGTACTAGTAGGGCTGTATAAAAGGATTCCTAATGAAACCTAGGTTTTCATACTCTCCACCAGCCAAAATTGGAGGATTTTATTATCCATTGTGCAAGGCACATGATGGAAGAGCATGCTCCTCTCAGCACTAATTGCATTGAGTTCTAACTCACAGCAATAGCAGGAATAGGAATTACTACACTGAAGCTGGAACAGCTGTAAGGACAAGGACAACAGCCTTACGGTTAGGCAGTCAGGGAAGCAGAAGTATAACAAATTCTGACATCTGAGTATCAGAAGGGCACTGCACATGTTATCTTCTGTAAAGAGGACCAGTATTTCCTGGGACAACATTAGATAAATTTAACAGGGGAAATTTTCAAAATAATGAATATGAAATAAGAGAACAAGTTTAGCAAAGCACTATTTATTTCGTATCAGCACAATCTGGAGTTGGAAAGCTGGCTCGAGTTCTTTTTTGCACTGTTCTTCCTGGTAAGCTCTGCAACCATATGTATGTCCACAAATACTCTTGCTGCCATTTGTAGATTTCAATAGCTAAAAATTCTCTAAGGGTTACCTTGAAGTAATATTCTTTACTCTTCACATCCTGAACACTTGTGAAAACACTCAATAACCTCCTCCTCTATGGTTAATTGATGCTCTTTAACAGCTTGCTGTCTCCCATTAGTCAGCACACAATGATTATTCTACACTGCAAAACCATCTCAGCAGACCACTTTGTATTAAACAAACATATTGTAAAAGATTAGGAGCCTCAGCATTTTGTGTCTGCCCGTCTCTATCCCACAGCTCTGCCTTTCAGTCTCAATCTACCAGCTGGAAGTTGAATTCCCAATTAGGTACATAGTGCTGTCTGACAACTGCTGCACGTCCTCTCCAAATAAATACAACAACATGATAATAATCGTTTCCACTTCTACAGAACCAACCTCATCCCAAAGGGACCCGGTGCATTTTGAGAAAAGCCACATCAAATGTAGAGGGAATCAGCTGATGAGGAATCAGCATCTTCAAACTGACACTTCTCCAGCTCTGCAGCAAGTACTGATCTGGTTAGCCATTCTCAACAGCACAACAGAGCAGTCACTTGCAGACTGAGCCCATGGAAGCGTGCCGCCCCTCTGCGCACTCCAGGGTCAATGTACCCTCCCAGGTTTCACACTCTCAAGGCCATGATAAGCTAGCACAAGTGTAGTGGCACACAAGTGTCCTCACCAGCCCTGTGAGGGTTGCAGATGGACAGATGCCATGAGTGTACACTGAGGCAAGTACTCCTGCTGGGTTCCTTCTAGCTCTTTGCCTCACCATGTCACCAACCACTGTTTGGGACCAAAACTGCCCTGAGTGTTCCTAGATGGTTTCCTTTAAAATAACTTAAGTCTTCCAAAAGACCACCGTAGCTTTTCAAAAGGTATTAAAAACTAAAAGCTAAAGGGAAAACTATAATAATTTTCATGTTCTAAGGAGAAGCTAGTGTAGTTGCAGATAGGAGTATGGCATCTTAAATCACAGACTGAAAAGCGACTGAAGGGACAGACAGCCTGCGCTGCCCTTCCCAAACCTGGCACAGAGCAAAGGGTTGCGGTGTGCACAGACACTGCTGCCAGATTCGCATGCAGGAATATACAAAGGAATAAGCACTAGGATAAAACAGATCTCTCCAACATCAGCCAGAGGGTGGGCAGAGACAGGCGGCCTCTAGTTCCTGACGTGGTGGAATTAAGCCAGGCGGGACATCCATCAAGTGTGGAAAGGATTTCCCATCTCCCCAGGGACAGTGCCATGACTGATGCTGCGTTTCCAAAAATGTTCAGGCTGAGGTCTGATTGAGGAAAATGGCCAAGCCAAACCAGAAAAGGGTGGGCCCAGTCCAGAGCTGGAAAGGGGCAGTGAGGTGAGGCACATCCAAGAAACAGGCTGAGCAGGCAGCTTGGCTCAGTCCCCACCATGGTGGATTAACTTATGCACTGATGCACAGGAGAGACCGCAAGCCTGCAAACACTTACACACATGATTAACTTCCCCAGCACTCCTCATCCCTACCTGCTATGAAATTTCTTCCAACCTAAGGTACCACTGGCTGTCCTTTTCATCCAGACAGCTATCTCAGCTATTTTCAGTCCTGGGAATCTTCTGGCTTTTAATAAATTTTATAGCGATGAGTTCAGCTGGCAAATCATGGAAAAGGTAATGTGTCGCATATATTAAATAAGCTGCCTTCCAGTTTCCTTGCACGTTCCACTGTTTTGAGGCCAAAACAGTAATACCCAAATTCACCTCTTCTGGACGTGTGCTTATTTGTCATGTGGACAGTCCCACTCTTTCAGTTGTCCATCTTGTAGAGGTCTGCTTCTATCAACTGCTTAGATGACCTACAGATTTAGCTCATTTGATCTTTCCTCAAAGAGGAGATCTTCCAGCCCTTCACAATTACTGCTGTGGTTTCTTCAGCTCCCTCACATTTTCCTGCACCTTCCCGGTAATGAGCTTCCCAGAGCTTTGTGTCTC